TATTTTATATTTGTTATGAATATAACCCTCGATTTTGTAAATGGAATATGTGGGTCATACTGACACAATTCATTGAAAAAGCATTCGGTCGGTGATAATTTGTCAATGTTCATTTTATACAACTATCTGTAAGCTGCTAGTAGTAAGTTGGCACTATTCTTGCAAATGTGTACCTCAATTGCAGTACTCAAGGCAATTTGAACAGTTTTATATCGATATTTTGTATTTGAATTGATAAATATGAGTATTCCATCATTTCTATACAGTGTCCCTTTATTGTGAATTATATCATATCCTGGTAATCATGTAAATTTTTCATCAAGAATATTAAACATTTTCGTAAGTACTATAATTTCAAATCGCCTTGAGAATTGGTTCAAGAAGATAAGGAATTCATTATAGTTTTTACTAACACTACGAATGTTCAGATGTAGGATCTTAAGTTTACATTCATTATTTTCTGTACTGATATGGTTAAAAAATGTATGGTATCAACTAGTTCACCTGGTATAACATAGTTTTCATAATTTTTATATATGAATCCATTTTTGTTATTTTTTCCCTCAATATGTATTCATACTTTATTTTGCGATCTAAGGGATTGCTTCCCATCTCTAAATTGTAGAATTGACGAATTTTTGTCTTTATTTCTATTGTTTCCTGTTTCCTCTTCTCTCTTCTTCTCTCCATCAATTATATGTTGTTTTTGTTCTTCTTTCTTGTTATTTCCTTTTTGGTTAATTTTTTGTATTGGTTCTCGTGTATCTTCAAAAATTCTGGATTCAGTTTTGTGGGGGTTTGGGGTTCACCCGATGGTCTTATGAGGAAGCTTTGCTCTTTTTTTTTCTTCAATTTCCAGTAGGTCTTCAACTGTAAATATTTCGTTGTTTTTATATAGTTTTTCACCCTTAATGTAACAGCGGTCTTCGGTTGAATTCCTGAGACTTTTCAAATGTCCTCTTACAATTTTATTTCCTGTTGTTTTTTTGTCAAATCATGAACTATACTTATTTTGGTGCNTAATCAAAGTGCGGAATTTGGCAAATTTCAAATTCATTGCCATGGTAAAGAAGTGTGTTAGGTTGCTAAGGTGAATCAATAAAGGGAGTTGAAAAAAGATTTCAAGAGGTATGACACGCAAAATTTGTAAGAGCCGATAAAATCTGAAATTAAATATAAAAATTAAAACAAACCTGTTGCAAGCAGTATATTTGAGATACGAATACTAATTTCACAACAACATAAGTAGTATAGCTAACGTGGTTCTAGATACAATGGTAACCATGCCATCGAGCTGTCAATCGAGAGCGGAAGGGGTGCGGTTGTTTGGGGTGAAGATGTGTGTCAAAAAGGCCTTGTTTGCGAAGAACATTGGTGGGTAGTGTTGACAATGTGATAGTTCTTGAGCAACCCTTGTTCTTGTAGATCGTCAGTGACCAGAGGGTTGTTAGATGGTCAATGACCAGAGGGTGTTGTAAGAAGAGAAGAGGCAGCCCTCAGCGGGTGTAGGTTAGCCGTGTCGTATTAGAGACTTTTTGGCTCAGTGAATCGTCTTCGACCAACCCTCTTCGGGCAACCCTTGTTCGGGCACCCCTCTTAAGGCAAGCTCTTTTCGTTAAACCATGTACCCAGGCGTACGCCAATGTGTTTTATTCGTTGACTTAGTCAGTACGCCAGCTGACCTTGAGACAACTTTGTTGCAGTTAATTAGGATATTTTCGTTGCATTTCGTTGGAATACTTATTGTTTGCCTGATAATAAACCAGATTAGCTGACCTCAAGGTCATATGTATAAGTAAACATGAATACTTTGTTGCACTTAATTATATTTTCGTTGCATTTTGTTGAAATATTCGCTATTTCACTGATAATAAACCAGATTACCTGACCTTAAGGGTCAATATGTATGATTGAACATGAATATTTTGAAAAAGGAAATACGTAATTTACTAATGTTTATTAATTAGTAGGTATTCACAATGTATGGGTTATTTTCAAAAATTCTTTTTTTTAGATGATATTAAAAATCCGCTTTTTCTTTCCTTTGTCCGCCATCACACAACAAAGAACAAACTTTAAATCACAATATAAAAAATACTTTTGGAGTTTATGTTTATGATGAAGTAATCAACTGTCGATTTTCTCCAGAAATAACCAAACTCACAGAAAATCCCTACATATGCTCCACGTTGCCACATTGTACTGTTAATTAATGGCCCTTTAGTAAAAGCTGGTTTGTAAATGTATGGTGCAACTCATTTGAAGTTAAGAGACCAATAAAAGTTAAGAGTCCCTTTGTTAATGGTGCCATAAGAAAAAGTTGGTGCAATCGGCTGTAAGTGAAAGTTGATATGACGCCTTCAAAGTAGCTTTATCATAAGTTGAGTATGACTTGAGGATACTTTTTGACGATTTTAGTTCCGTCTCCTTCCTCTTAAAGAAATCTACATGTTTTCCGGCAAAATTTTTATGCTTTGTTTCAAAGTGTCTAGTTAATTTTGCCGGCTTCATTGCCTCATTACTTAAAACCTCCGCACAAATTACACATTGAGGTAACTGAACAGCAAATTCTTCAATGAATGTAAATCCACATGCTATGTAGTCCGGACTGTACTTACGATTAGCAGCCTTTCTTTTGGGACCAGTTTGAGTTAATATTGTGATATCACTGGCAATATTACTGGTAGAACATCCTACTTTAACCCTGCGTAGGTCGCGTGTTGCTGTGGATCATAGGGGGTCGCGCGGTATCTCACAGATGTATGAACTTAAAAATAATATTCTATCGAACTACTGTCGTATTAATGAAAACAAAAACAAATATGAGGTACTTTAATTGAATTAGAAAAAGTCAACATAAATTAATAAATTCTTAAATAAACATAAAAGCAAACCTTAACCTTATAATAAAATAAAAACATGATTTAAGGTAGAACACCATATACGTTTAACATAACATGTGATGAATAATGCTTGAATAGAAAAACATAACAAAAATCAGAAATAATCGTTTCAGTCAGAATTTGAACTTTGATTAGTGTCCTCATCGAAACATTTTTGACAGAGCATTGTGGCATGTTCTAAACAAAAATAATCTTCACATTTGCGGCATCTGTACTTTGTCAGTCTTCTTGTTTTACTTTTTGAATAGCACGGTCTGCAGGTTTTTCTGCAGACCATTCTCCACTTTTTGTGGAGAATGCTTTTTTTCTGAAACAGGATTATACTTGTTGAGTGCCTGTTGTAGATGTGTTGGAAGACTTTTTATTTGTCCCCTACGTCCAAGATGTTCTGCAACTAAACTGTGAACTAGCATCTTTAGATATTCCCTCCTATTTGCAAAGGCATTTTTATTATCAGCAAAAACTATCATTCCGTTGATGGCTGCAATATTCATCATACAAAAGAAGATTACCATTGGCCATCTTCTTGTATTTCGTGCACAGTTATATGTGGCACATAGCTGATCTACAGTATCAACTCCTGATTTTGTGGCATTATAATATGTGATTATTTCAGGTTTATATTGATCCCCTGTGCCTTCATCAATATTATCGTCAAAATGCAACGATGATAAGAGTAATACATTTTTGCCTTTTTTTGGCACATACGATACCAAAGTGGCTGTTTTACTGAATCCAAACATAGATGAATGTAGTACCCTTTCTTTGACGTTTAAAAATATTGGTGGAATCTGCCTTTTGTTTTTTCTTATTGTGCCAACATGTGAAAGCTTTTTATTCTTTAGTTTTTCTACGAGCTCTAGGTTGGTAAACCAATTGTCTCCGGTGATATTTCTTCCGGTGTCATAGATAGGTTCAGCAAGGCGCAGTACCAAGTCAGTAGGTGTATTACTAACTTCAAAGGGTCCCTCAGGTTGCTTGCCGACATACACTTCTAGGTTGACGGTATAAAATAATTTGGAATCTACTAGGGCAAATATTTTTATTCCATACTTATTGGGTTTTGAGGGAATGTACTGTCTGAAAGAACATCTTCCTCTAAAACCCTCAAGTTTTTCATCTATCGTAACATTTTGGCCGACGGAATAACATGCTTTGCAGTTGTTCACAAAAAGGTCGAACAAATCTCGAATGGGAGCCAACTTGTCAATTTTTTTTCTTTCAACTCTTGTACGTTTATCGTCGAATCTACAACATCTGTACAAAAGTTTGAACCTTCTAAGAGACATAGTTGTTCTGAACAACTCAACACCCATGCCGTCTGTTGACCATAAATCTTCTAAAGACTGTCTGCCACTTCTCAAAATTCCTGCTAGGTACAAGAGACCAAAGAAAGCTTTCATTTCAATTGAATTAGTCAATTTAATATCTCTTTCACGACTATAATTCGGTTGTATGGTCTGTATACTCAGATTAGTAGAATTCACTATGAGATCTATCATTTCGTCAGAAAAAAAGCACTTCCAGGAATCGAGAACAGTTTTTATACCTTTGGCGGACCCAATTACTCCAGGTATTTTTGTAAGGATGTTATGCGGCATTCTTTTTTTGACTTTCGTGGGTACGTGTTTTCCCCATTTTGTATTGGCGCGAGCAAAGACGCCTGTACGTCACGACAGCGGCCGAAACTAAACGAAGAGGCGCGTTTGGTCGTCTGGTTCTGGTCAACACAATACTGTAAACGTTTTGAGTTGAAAAAAAAAATAGGCAGTCGCATTAATTTACGTCTCAAGAGCCAAGATTTAAATTGATTATTTTATGACTGTTCACTTCGCGGACCACCATGAAAACCGTTCACGGACCACAGGTTGAGAATCACTGGTCTAGATAGTGCACATTATTTCACACTCCCAGGATTCACATGGGATGCCATGTTGAAGTATACCAAGCAAGAACTGGAGTTGATTACAGATCAAGATATGTTCCTATTCATTGAGAGAGGAATTCAAGGTGGATTGAGTCAAGTATGTTCCAAACGCTGTTCAAAGGCTAATAATTAATACGTGAGCGATACATATAATTCTTCAAAGCCAGCCTCCCATCTCATGTATTACGATATCAATAATCAGTATGGATGGGCAATGAGTCAAGCTCTACCATATGCAGGATTCGAGTGTACTGATACTAACATTAATGTCACACGTGTTCCAGATGACTGTGATACTGGATACATTTTGGAAGTCAGCCTTCAATATTCACACAATCTCCATGATCGTCATAAGGATCTACCGTTTTGCCCAGAACACATAAATCCAAAGACTGGAAAACCGCCCAACTCTTCTTCCGAAAATGTCAAGTTGATGGCTACTTTGAGGAATAAGGATAAATACGTCATTCATTATCGAGCATTGAGACAAGCATTAGCCAATGGGTTGTTGATTACATCTATCCACAGAGTGCTGAAATTCAAGCAATCTCCATGGTTGAAGAGCTATATTGACTTGAATACTTGCTTGAGGAAAGCGGCTAAAAATGAGTTCGAGAAGAATCTCTTCAAGCTCATGAATAATGCTGTATTTGGTGAGTATCATAATCATGATTTTTGGGCTGAAACAAATGGCTTTTGATTACTGTTTCAATATGAGTTTGTATTGACTTCAATCCAGCCTGAAATATTTCAATTGAATTTTGTTTAGAAATATAATATGAAATACTATTCTTTGGATGTATATAATATATCAAATCTTAATATTATTTCTGAAAAATTTTCTGGGTTTATGGGAATTCATTATAATCAACAAATATTTTTTTCCAGGCAAAACAATGGAAAACATAAGGAACAGAGTGAATATCAAACTCCTCACCAAATGGCTTGGACGTTATGGAGCCGAAGCATGGATATCTAAAGCAGAATTCAAAAACTGTACAATTTTCAATGAAAATCTTGTAGCAGTCGAACTACAAAAGCTGCAGATTTTTTTGAATAAGCCCATATATGCTGGTATGGCTATTCTGGATTTGGCAAAGACTACTATTTACAACTTTCATTATGAGTATATGAAGAACACCTTTGGTGATGACTGTACAGTTCTCTATACTGATACGGATAGTTTGATCTATGAAATAATGAATCAAGATCCATATAAATCGATGTAAAGAGACTGTCACATGTATTTCGACACTTCAGATTACCCGTATGATAATATTTATGGAATACCACAAGTAAACAAGAAAGTTTTGGGTATGATGAAAGACGAATTTAATGGTGTACCAATGACCGATTTTATTGGATTGAGATCTAAATTACATACAACCAAATGTCGAACTTCAGATAATGAAAAGATGCAAGTTCGTAATCAGATGGAAGCGGAAAACTATACCGCTGATGAAATCGATATTTCTTTAAAAAATATTGGCGTTACTAAAAAAGCAAAGGGAGTTAAAAAATCAGTTGTACAAAATAAAATTACCTTTGAGAACTATGTCGACTGTTTGGAGAACTTTAGTAAGAAGGTAGTTGAACAGAACTTGATTAAATCAACGAAACATCAGGTATCATCGGTGATTCAGGAGAAAATCGCCTTGAACCCTTATGACGACAAAAGCTATCTCATTTCTGGAACGAACCTAACATTACCCTGGGGACACTACTCTATTGAACCAATGGATCCGGATATTGAGAACTAGATTATAAACCATATTTAAAACAATATCCGTCATTCAAAAAAATATCAAATGTCGTTGAAGAGTTGTTCAAATTGGATTGATATGAAATAAATGGAAGATTTCTTCTCATACTTTTTTTTATCACAGCGCTTTCATACCTGCTAAAAAACATACGATTAATTTTCAAATATTGCTCCTTGATAATGTTGATACTGCACAATGTGGTGCTCTGTCTGTGGAAATTTAAAGTATTTATTATTATTATTCGGTAAGCAGCCCGAAAAAGGCGAAAAAAAAAACTGACAAAAGACATTTATCAGGTGTGAAAAAGCAAGACTTTGTGTCACTACAAGGAAGATTTTTCCCTCATACGTCTGTTTTATTTTCATAGTGCTTCTCAAGTTCAGATCAATGTAGGACATTCAAGTTGTGATGATATGAAATAAATGGAGTATTTTTACTTATACATGTTTTTTTTTCATTATAGTTTATTCATACTTACAAGAAAACGTATACGCTTCATTTTCAAATATTGTCAGAGACGTTATCATGTCACCTTATCAATGTAGTACTTATTACATTCATAGGAAGTTATTACATGAGAACACTTAACCGAAATCTCAATGTTATGCTCTATTTTGTGAAGTTCCCTCGTAGTAGTAGTAAATGTGATTTATGATATTATATACCAAACGCTATCGACTTTTCTCGAAGTCTTTCAGCAAGTAGGCTTGTTACTAACTGCCTACGGCATACCTCAGGAGAAAAATGATACCTGAATAATAGACACATCATCAAGTGTATATCTATCATGTCAATATGCATTGTGCCTATTCGACTATACAAGTCTCAGCATATTGAGATAGTATTACTATTTGAGCATATATCGAAAATTGAATGCAAATTTTTTATCATTATTAGATATCTTAGAAGAAATGTTACCTCAAATTAGATGGTAATTTGTTATACCTAATAGTCATTCATTTTGTGAGGGCTCAGTGACTTGGTCTGTTTTTTTTTCACGCATATTCTTTTCGAATTAATATCAGGTAGTCATGAAACAAATTTGAAAGGAAGACAAAAGTTGGTACCTCCTTTAAAATATCCTGAGCATTCTTTGAAAAAAAAAACTATGCCCTTGGCAAATTTAGACTAATATACGGCTATAGCTTCATCATGAAAGCGAACAAATTAATCATGAATGTCGAGGGATACTTTTTTTTTTACTTTCGATTTCGAGTGCAGAAACCCTAGGATAATTTCCTTTGTATGAATACTTGAAAACTCGTTCCATTCGACATACACCTAACATATGTTAATTCTCTTAGTGATGACTGACTGACACAGAATTTTAGTGGTTTGTTCCTGAGCATATCATTTCGCGAGTAATTCATAAGTATATATATGATATACATTTGGAATCTTGAACATTTTTATGAGCTATTTTTCCGACAAATTAGGTTGCCTTTTTAGCACGATGTAGTGTCGTGAAATGACAAAAAAACATAAATGATACAATTATAATATCAATTTATATAAATATATTCTTCCGAATATTTGAAAACTTGTTTTTCAACTGCCTGTTTCAGAATTCATATATCATTTTCCTCTACACAGATATCGCCTTCTGAGAGTTGCCCATCGGAATGCAACAGCCAGTTAACGATAAACACAGAAAAAAATAGATTCCTTCCAGACACTTTATTGCTTATCCCTCACCGTTTGGATTCAAAAAGGTATTTCACTCTCAGGATTTTGAGATAAAGCTTTCTGTCCTAATGTCTTATATTTCTCTTGTGAGAATATTCGATCAAGATTTCATTTCAATTACTTCAATCAGATTCTCAAATAGATATCCGAAAGAAAAAATATCTTTGGAGTGAATCTTTGATTATATTCCTATTTTCTCAATACGCTGCTTTAACAACTTCTTATTTATCAGTAGGTACTTTGCAACTGTCGGCCGCCGAGAACATTGGGAATACAGTTGACTAGCATCAAATATCAGTCTATCACTTCTTCCAGCAAATAATTCTCCATTCATTATCTTTGTTCATTCTACCAACAACGAACAATGTTTGCATGAGTTGGTCTCGTCGAAATTGGCTAATTCGCCACAAAAATCCTAAAATCGATGGTGTCGTCGTGTCATTCTGACAGCACATCCGTTTTTTATATTCATTTATATGCGACGGAGGATTTTTAAAGTTCATCATCACGTCCATGAGTCGGTCACTATCATTACTACTCTTTCAAAAATATTTGAAAACATTATTTCTTGGGTCAATAACTCAACACTGGTATTGTCACATTGATACAAACTATTCACAAAACTTATCAAGCGTCACGATAGCGCAGATGGTAGAGCGTCTGCTTCGTAAGCTGCAGATCGATGGATCAAGCCCCCAACACCCGGTGACGAAGCTGGCTACACTACTCCAGCATTAGATGCTAAGTCTAAGGTTTCTAATGAAAGGTGAGATTCATGGTTATCAATTATGAGCCATACACGTTCTTTCTCAGTAGGTTTAGTGTGTTGTATGAAATGTTCCATGAATTTAAAATACAACTCTTCGTTGGACCAACCTGAAGCGTTAGCACCACCGATTGTTCCTGGAGGCGCTCCCTTCAACATGTGGTCTTTATAATTCACTCTAGGAAATATCATAGGAAGCATGTGATTTCCTAAAGCATTGACACAAGCAGATACTGTTATCAGCTCCCCACGCTCTGCTGACGTCACGTTACCAACCTGTTTTGCACCTTTAGGTGCGACAATTTTCGAAGGATTTTGCACCGTGGTCACGCCGCTCTCATCTTGGTTCCAAATCTTTTCAGGTGGGAATGGACCGAAGCGCCTGTGGACGTCCTCCAAATTATCAAAAAATCTACTCACATTCGATTTATTAAAACTAGTTGCACGTGACATGCTAGTTTTTTCAGTTTTTCTTATGGCTAGGCCACCTTCGTTGGAATGCCGTTTCAAAAATAGCCTCATCCACTCTTCTCCTGCGAATTTACTTTCGTTTCATGTAGGAGGGAACCTCTTTTTGTTCGCCACAGCAAATTTATATGCTAATTCACGAACCTGTTTTTTGGATAGACCATAATTCATTTTTGCTGTAGTTTTGATGTAATCAACTAATTTCAATTCCTATTCCTTTGTAAATACCTTCTTGACATCATAGCTGGCCTTATATTGAAAGTTTGTTGCACCAGATGTTTTGAAAGCATTAAGATGCCGTACAAGAGTAGCAAATTTAACATTAAAAATTCTACAAGCTTCTCTTATTGATATCCTCTTCTCTGGAGATCCAGTAACTGCTTCAACTGCTTTTTTCATCGACTCAGGGTCAATACGATTTTTTTTTCCACTTGTACTTCGTGGCATACCTACTGACCTATAACAACGAACGAAATAATTGTAACATCATGTACCTCTGATCACTGATCAGTGGTACAGGACGTTGTTTTGATCCAAGGTACATGATGGTGCGTTTTTTCAAACTCAACCTCCTCAACATTCTAGGTTAGGACTGAAACTGGAATATTGCTCAACATATTACTCACCAATAAGCAGTGATTCAGGTGGAATATTATTTCAAACACAAAACACTATAGTCAACTTGTTAAAAAATAAAGAGTAAAGCCAAAAGTCGTTACTTTTCGCACAAAGGAAATGTAATTCAACTCTACTCAGAAACAATAGCACATAGACAACCACTTTCCCGCCTGTTTGCACTCTACTGAGTAAACGCTTTCTTAGTTCAGTCGCTGTGGTGCAGATGGTAGCATCTGTCAGGAAACTGAAGGGTGATCCAAGGTACAATATGATCAAGGTACAACAGTCTCCCCTACTACTGGCATGCTGCGATGCAGATGCACCATTATAAAACCAGGTTTCGCTGGACGTTATAGTGATGGTGGTATTTTTAAAGCCTCTACAATGAACTACAGGCTAACCCATGGCGGTTTTGACATCCCTTTACCTTCTCCATTACGATATGATGAAACCGACAGTCCGTTTCCTTATTACTTTGTCGCAGATGAAGCGTTCCCATTGTCACGCAATTTATTGAGGCCCTATTCAAGCAGAACCCTCGACAATGTCGAGATAATATTTAATTATAGATTAAGCCGAGGTAGGAAAACTATTGAATGCGTGTTTGGAATGGCAGCAGAAAAGTTCGCAGTGCTTAATAGACCCATACGGTGTCGTGATCCAACAACAGTCAATAATATAATAAGAGTGTTGTAGTGTTGCCCTTAGTTAAATTACTTACATTATACTTTTCAATATTCTTGCGAAACCGCCTTCGGCAACGCCGTATAGTTTTTTGTCAACCCTACCTATGCGAAGCTGGTAGCGGACCCTTGGATAACAGTCGGTGTTTGACGGCATTCGGGATTTAGAGTTCAAGTTAGTAACAAGTAATTCGAAACAATTGTGAAATGGCGTTCACACTGTTTGATTAAAAATAAACCGAATTTCTGTATTGTTATTCAATCAAAACTCCAGAGCTAGTCGGCGCCCAACAACATTCATAAGAAACAAAAGTAACCCGATAACATGTCGCCCGAACGTGTGGGCATTTTTACTTTAGGTTCAGTGAAAGTTCCCTCTAATTCAAATAATTGTTTTCGTTAAAAAACAAGTGCCGTCGCCAACATAGACGAGTACGTTGTATAGATGGCTAGTAAGTTATTGAATATCGTTTGCTTTTGTTTAATTTTCAACTTCTAACCGCACGCTACTTCATAACATTCTTATGTTAAATTTTTGTACCTTACCTACTTATCACGAACTTGAAGGTTACAAAAATTTAATGTGATTTATCCACTTGTTGAATTGTAATGCGAAATACAATTCGGTTTCGCTTATTTTTGGGTGATAGGAATTGACACAAAGTAATAAACAACTCCATGATCGGTTTTGGGAAACAAATTGTGTGAAAGTATGGTGTCATAAATAACATTAACTTCGTTGTGGTTTTATTTTTGCGGGGAACTGGGTGCGTTGCGTTAGACTGCGTATACAGCGATAGTAAATATTTCGTTTGGATTTGGTTTGATCATCTTACAGGGGACAATGAAAATACTCACCTTCAATGTACTTATATACAGGGGTA